TAAAAATAATAAAAATACATGTTTGAAAAAAAATTTTTTGAGACAGAGTCTCTCTGTAGCCCCAGCTGACCTGGAACTCACTATGTACACCAGGCTGGCCTTGAACTCACAGAGACCTGCCTGCCTCTGCCTCTGGAGTACTGGGATTAAAGGTGTACACCACCATGCCGGGCTTGAAATTTAAAAAAAATATATTTTCTTTTAATTTTATGTGTATGAATGCTATCTCTGCATGTGTGTAAGTGTACTCATGTTGTGCAATGCCCGCAGAGGTCAGAAGAAGGCATCGGATTCCCCTGGAACTGGAGTTATGGACAGTTGTTATCTGCCATATGGGTGCTGGGAATTGAATCCGGGTCCTCTGTAAGAACAGTCAGTGCTCTTAACTGCTGAGCCATCTCTCCAGCCCTCTGGCTTGAAATTTTTTAAGTAAAAAATTTAAACATTGTCTAGGAAAATTTTTGTTAGCTATATATTTGGCAGAGGATTAATATCTAGAATATAGAAAACAAACCAAAAACAAAACAAAACAAAATTAAACATATGCACACAGAAACAACCAGATCAATAAATGGCCTAATGATATTTACAGTTCTCAAAAGATAGAGTACTGGGCTGGAGAGATGGCTCAGCAGTTGAGAGCACTGACTACTCTTGCAGAGGACCCGGGTTCGAGTCCCAGCACCCACATGGCAAGTTGCCTTATGACCAAATTGTGGGGTTGTCTAATCTCTAGATCCATTCAGTAGCTGGTTATAGTTAAAACTAGGTCTAGACTGGCCGTGGTGGCACACGCCTTTAATCCCAGCACTCAGGAGGCAGAGGAGAGGCAGGCAGAGCTCTGTGAGTTCCAGGCCATCCTGGTCTACATAGTGGAATCCAGGCCAGCTAGGGCTACAGAGAGACCCTGTCTCAAAAAGACCAAATAATAAAAATAATAATAATAATGGTAATAATTTTTTTTAAAAAAAAGATAAAGTACTGCCTGGTATACTGATTGGCATACTTCTTTAATCCCAGCACTCAGGAGGCAGAGGCAGGCAGATCTCTGTGAGATGGAGGCCAGCCTGGTCTACTGGCCAGCTGGGGATATAGAGAGACCCTATCAAATAAAAAAAAAGATGAGTGCAAATGTACTGACCAATAAACATATGAAAAAATGTTCAACTTCAATAGCCATCAGAGAAGTTTAAATTAAAACTACATTGAGAGTCCATCTCACCCCATTCAGAATGGCAGCCATTTAGAAAACAAATAACAAATGCTGGCAAGAATGTTGGCTTTATACCCTGCTGGTGGGAATGTAAACTAGTCCAGCCACTATAGAAGTCGGTATGGATGTTTCTCAAAAACCTAAAAATAGATGTACTGTATGACCCAGCTATGCCACTCTTGGGTATTTACCAAAGAAACCCAAGTCAGCTGATTAGAGTACTTTCAAGTAAATGTTTATTACGGTACTGTTCATAATAACTAGGTTATACAACCAACTTAGGTATCCCTCAATAGAGAAGTAAAGAAAATGAGGTTTGTATAGACAATGGAAATTTTTTTCAGCCATAAAAACAAATGAAGTTATGTCCTCTGTAGGAAAATAGATGCAACTGGAGATAATTAAGCAAATTAAGTCAGTCTCAGAAAGAGAAATGTCATGTTTTCTCCATTTGTAGATGCTAGACTTTATAGGTTAATAAAATCATTTACGTATGTGTCCTAGTTTGCTATGATAAAACAATGACCAAAAACAACTTGGGGAAGAAAGTGTTTGTTAGGCTTACACTTCCAGGTCACAATTCATCACTGAGGGAATTCAGGACAGGAGCTCAAGGAGATGAAACAAACAACAGAGGAAAGGTGCTTACTGGCTTGCTTCTAGGCTTGCATACAGCTACCTTTCTCATACAGTCCAGGCCTGTGTGCCTAGGGATGGTACCGCCCACAGTGGGCTGGGCCCTCCTACATCAATTGGCCATTACAGTACAGAGGACATGAAAATAGAAGGAGAACTGTCAAGGAGAACAAGAGGACTAATAGTAGTGGGAGGGGTGAGAAAGGGGGGCACTGGGGCATAGAAAGCAGTATGCTCAAAGTATCTTATATACTTGCACAAGAATGGCCTTGTGTAACCCAGTGTAATAAAATAACTCCTCCACAAGCACATGATCTATGATGTGGGACCAAAGGGACCAATAGGATGGGCTGGGGAAATGTGATCAAGTTTCTCACCTTCCTTTGTGTTTGGGACCCTCTCTCATTCCAGCACCCCTGACTTCCACCTCTCCACCCACCACAGCTGTTGCTGTTTTCTGAAGTAAATAAGCTCCCCTCATTCCTGCCACCTCACTGATCAGGCACAGTGCCTATGACCTGAAGACACTGTCCCTTCTTATCTGTTGCCTGGGAACCTAGTCCTTTTGGGCACTGTGACTTTTTGGGCGTGACCTACTTTATTAAAGTTATCTTTCACAATTCGAGGCAGAACACAAAGACAGACAAGGGTTCAACCCAAAACACCACCCCAGCCCCAGATCATAGGTGTTGGGGGAAGACTTGGCCCTGGAGAAAGCCAACCCTTCAGCTATAGAACTGTGAGGTTTGCATTTCTTGGAGGACAGTCTTTTTGCCATTGAGTTATAATTTGTAGCTCTATTCAGTTCATGGGCTAGGAACAGTTTCACCTCGGGGTGATCCTCCCCTCAGGGCCAGCCCTCGGCCTTGGCCTTCTGAACAGGGGCATTAACTGAGTCAACTGTGCAGGAAAAAAAAAAAAAAAAAAAAGTTGATGATCTGTGGATGAGAGACTTCAGTGTTCAGGGACTGAGAGTCCAAAATGAAGATTCAGGGCCTGGGGGTGCCCTGGCAGAACTGCAAATCTTCTTTTAGTCCTCTTCCACCCAGCCAGCATTGTTGACCACTTGAGGGCCAAGTTCAAAGTCCAGTTCACAGAGGGCCAGAAGAAAGACTCTGTCCTTGAGGTGTCTACAGACAAGGCATGGCACTTTATCCAAGAGCTTGGTATCAGTTACAAAGCAGAGACATTAGGGAAGTGGGATAATGATATGAAAACATTGGGAGTACCCTTGTATGTGACCTTGGGTTTCCTTAGCAATGTAACTTCTCTAGGAAACGAAGCTGAGGCCACCTTTCATCTTTAATGATGATGGCACCCAGTAGACTGATAGAGTGAGAAGGAGAGAGAAAACTGAACATGGGCCCATGGCACAAAGAGTTTAACTCTGATCATTTCTTGTTCTCCAAGAGTTTGTCCTTCCTCACCCCAAGCATAAAAGCTGAGCAGCACATGAGCTTGCACATGAGTTTAGGCCGTTCTCATCTACTTTTACAAAGACACACAATGGCAGGTGACACTGCTGACCTCTGGGAAGAAAAGGACAGCTGAGGGATGATTGTGGGAGGGAGCTTGTCTTTCTGTTTCGTATGCCTTTTTTTATTCTTTCTTTATTTTTTTTAGATACAGTCTCATGTAGCCAGGGCTGGTCTTGAACATATTATATAGGCAAGGATGACTTTGAACTTTTGATCATCCTGCCTCTACCTCCAGAGCTCTGGGATCACAGGCATGTGCTTAGTTTTATGCAGTGTTGGGGATCAAACCCAACATGTGGGCTAGGAAAGCACTCTACCAACTGAGTTACATCCCCAGTCACTTTCTATCCTTTAAATGTAATACTATGTGATTGTATCATCTAATAACAAAGAAAATTCCAGCAGTGTTAGGTAGCGATAACTGGGCTTTCTTTAGGTGACGTTTCTCTATCCCTGAGGGACAGGGAAGAAGAATGGGCTTGGGGTGACACTGTAGGCCAAGTCCCAGTGCTAGAGAGGCTCAGATTTACCTTTCTAGTGAGCCTCTGGGTCCACAGGCATCCTGCCAGGCCCAAGAGGGGTGGGAGTCATTGGTACATGTTGTACTCTCTAGCACAGGGCATTTCGTACTGAACTGCCCACAGGCCTGGACAGCCTGAGCTGCTGAGTGAGAGGGTCCAGAAGGTGGGTGTATGACCACCCAGCAAAGATCAGATATAGCTGAGGAGAAAAGGTAGAGCCCAGGTAGGACTGGATAGGGTAGAAAGGTGTTTGAATGAGAATGTCCCCGATAGGCTCCAAGTATTTGGGCATTCTGTCCCTAGTTGGTGGTACTGTTTTGGGAGGTCTTAGGTGTGGCCATGCTGGAAGAAGCATATCACTTAAAGAGTTCTTAAACCTTGCTGGATCTCAAGTCACTCTCGTTTCCTGTGCCTGCTTGAAGATGTGAGAGCTTGCCTTCCGCTCCTCTTCCAACCACCTCTGCCACCATGCCTCCCAGCCATGATGGGCGCTTGTCCCTTTGGATCTGTAAGCTCAAATAAACTCTTCCTTCTATAAGTTGCTTTGGTTAGTGTTTCTATCACAGCAACAGAAAAGTAATTAAGACAAAAGACCTCATCCAACTCCAGCGTTGGAAGGGAGGCAGGTATGGCCACTGGCTGCTGATTGTTGGCTGGAACTGAAAACGGGCATCCTTCCTGTGAATCTCCTGTTGCATTTAATCCACATCACAAGTTTCCCTGATGAAATTCCTACCTGTTGGTAGAGATTTTGTTATTGTTACTTTTTATTGGTTTGTTTTGCAGTGTTAGGGATTGAACCCAGGGCTTTATGCAAGCTAAGCAAGCACTCTACCACTGAGCACTGGGTATGCCCAGCCCATGGACCATCACTTTTAAAGCTAGAGCTGTAGATCAGTGGAAGAGTGCTTGCCTAGCATATACAAGGCTCCAAGTTCAATCCCTAGTACCTCAATCAATCAACAAAGTAAAATCAACTTGTCATGTCATGGGCTAGAGAGGAACCAGTCCCAAAGTTCCCTGCTTGGCCTAAGAAGCACCACTGGTTTTAGGAAGGCTTCTGGCATGGAGAACTTGGCCAGTACCAAGGGATCTCTGAGACCCCTCCTGCACTGGTTGTTGATTACATAGACTGTTTGCTGCCTCAGTAGCTGAGTTAGGCAGGTGAATGACTTGGAAATAGAGGAGCTAAAATGTCCCTGGTTTTCCTGTTCCTCTTTGTTACCCTTTCCCTGAGAGCAGGAGGCAAAGCAGGGAGGCTCCTGGGAGCCTCCGTCTTTAATTCTCAAGTCCTGGCAACCAGTCCTGCAGCTGATGCAAGGCCTAGAGTAAATGAGCTCAGCCACTCCCCAACACTAGGAGCCACTGACAAACTCATTCATCCACTGTTTCCTTTCAGATCTATTCCTCCTGGAAGCAGAGTGAGACCAGCTAAGGACCTGGAAGCAGACTTTGCTTGGACACAGAGCATTTCTGAGCCAACACCAAAGCCTGAGAATAGTGCCCCTGCAAGACCTGCTCAATGGACACGGAGGGCCTGGGCATCCATGCCAGCCCACTTCCTCTTACCTGAGGTGGTCTAGAGTTACCCACTTAAAAGGTGAACCTCTCTCCACTTGCCTTCCCTGTCCTTCAGAAAGTTGTGATATCCTACAAGAACGTGTGTGTTCACCTAGCAAGTTTCCTCTTTTATTGAAATAAATAAATGCCGGGCTGGAGAGATGACTTTAGTTAAGAGCAACCACACGGCACCTAACAATGTTCATAACTGCATTTCCAGGGGAATCCAGTGCCCTCTTCTGATTTCCATGGCCTTTGCATTACACTGGTACACTTATACATGCAGGTGATACACTCAATACACATAAAATACACATAAAATAAAATTTAAAAGTGAATAAATGTAATCTGTAGCTCACACAGGTGGGTGGGCACTAAAGAAAAGCCAGTACCTAGGAACAGGACTCAACATTGCTTTCTCTCTCTCACTCTTGCTCTTGCTCTTGGTCTCGCTCTCTGCCCAACTCCTTCAGACAGACTGCAGCCACATGGTGGGGAAGGGGATCATTTGCAACCAAAATTCAGGTTTAGAAAGGAATTCTGTCTCTCAACATTAGTATATCCATTTTAGAGAAGGTTCCGATGGTCCCTGTTTGGCCCCAGCTAGTCTTAGGATGTATGCCTTTTATTGAAAAGATTTACTTTTATTTTATGTGTATGAATGTTTTATCTGCATATATGTAAGTACACCGTATGTGCGCAGAGCCCATGGAGGCCAGAAGAGAAAATCAGATCCCCTGGAACTAGAGTTAAAGATGGTTTTGAGCAGCCACATGGGTGCTGGTAACCGAACCTGGGTCTTCTGTAAGAGCAGCAAGTGCTCTTGATGGCTGAGTCATCTCTCCAGCTCCTATTCCTCTCTCCCTAACCCCTTAAAAAAAAAAAAATAGGGTCTCTCAATATAACCCTAGCTGACATATAATGCTCCATGTACACCAGGGTAGATTTGAACTCACAGAGATCTCTCTGCCTTTGCTTCCCAAGTGCTGGGATTACAAGCGTGCACAAGCACACCTGGCTTGCGTGTGTGTGTGTGTGTGTGTGTGTCCATGTACATGTGGATGCTAGAAGTCAGCATTAGATGTCTTTTTCAGTCACATTCTACCTTATTTTTTTTAAATGGGGTTTCTCACAGAGTCTGGAGCTCACCATTTCAGCTAGACTGGCTGGTCATTAAGCCCCTCCTGGCTCCACTTTCCCAGTACTGGGGTTATAGATACACTCTGCTGCACTGAGTTTTTACCTGGGTGCTGGGACCCTGACCCTGGGTCTTCATGCTTACACAGCAGGCACTTTACTGACTGAACCATCTCCTCAGCCCTCACCTACCTGGTCTTATAGTGGAGAAAGTAAATTTTGGCCGGCTTGAGCTAACCTGTCTTAAAATAGAAAAGGGTAGGGTAGGAGTAGGAAGAAAAATAGATTATATTGCCAGGAAAATGATGGGAATATGGGCCAACAAAGCATTAATTTTTATGGCATTTTCCATGCATAGATGGAGAGGGAGAGGTGACTGGATACAACAAAAGTATGAGTGGCTCAGCCTGGACCAAACTTAAGATTCTCTTATCTTCTTTTTTATTTTTTTGGTCTTTTTGAGACAGTGTCTCCCTGTAGCCCCAGCTGGCCTGGAACTCGCTATGTAGACCAGGCTGGGCTCGAACTCACAGAGATCCACCTGCCTCTGCCTCCTAAGTGCTGAGATTAAAGACGAATGCCACCGTACCCAGCTAAGATTCTTCTATGTTTCTATCATCAGGCTGCAAACCATAGCCGCAAGCCTGGGACAGTTACTCAGATTGCACTGTGAGCCTGGTAGATGTGGTTTGGCCTGGGCTGTAGCTTTCATACTTTTCTTTTTCATACTTTTCCCAACTGCGTGCTTCCTGACCTCCCCTTGTCCTTATAGACAGATAAACCAGTGTCTATCACACATGGCATTTCTCAAGGACTTGATCACCTCAGTTGGTGGCTGCCTGGAAATTCTGTAGTTTGGACTGTTGGCTGAATGAAAAATGAAGAGGTGCTTGACAGGATACTGGAGTAGTGAAAAGTCAAGGGGCCTGTCTAGCCCGAATCACACACAGTAACACCTGCAGTCCCCATCTCTCTCCTCCTTGCCTGTGTGCTGGCTCTCTGACCATTCCACACTTCAAAGCTAGCTCCCTCTTGCATCCCAGTCCTGCTCATACACTCAATGGATCCCCAGTGTCCCTACTTCTTACCTAGCCTCCCAGGCTCCTCCAGACCTAGCCTCTGCTGCCTCTGAGCTTCCCCTCCCCCCACCCGCTGGTCTGGCTTTCACGTAGAATGACAAAGAGCCTGGGAAATATAATGGTTGCTAGCTACATGTGGCTATACACAGACCACTTGAAAGTAATTTGTTAACTAATTAACTATAGCCTGAGGATTAGCTCAGTTGATAGAGTGTGTTTGCCTGACACACATGAAGCCTGGGTACCATCCTCATTATGGAATAAAATGGTTGCGTTAGTACAATTCTGTAATTTCAGCAATCAAGAGGTGGTGGCAGGAGGATCAGGAGTTCAAGGGTTCAAGGTCATTCTTGGCTACATAGCAAGTTCCAGGCCAGCCTGGACAAAATGAGATTAAAAAAAAAAAAAAAAAAAAAAAAAAGGCCTGGATTGGCCTTTCTTCTTAAAGGAAGCCCAGATCATCAGCAGAGAAAGACTCAGAATAGACGACTTATTTGGTAAAATTTTCAACAAATACTTGCTACCAACTGTATTCAAGGCTCTAACTACATACAGAGCAGGAGTAGTATGTTAGTCCTAGGAATGAAAAGGCTTAGAGATGCTGTGAGCAGCAGGGCTGGGAGGAGGCAGAGAAGGTACAAAGGGCCAGTCTGGTTGGGGAGGCTCTCTGGAAAAGGAGAGATGCCTTGCTAAGCCAGTATACATCTACCTTACTAGACCAGCTCTCTAAGCCATGTCCTTTTTTAAGAAAAAACAGGGCTGAAGAGACGGCTCAGTAGTTAAGAGCACTGGCTGTTCTTGCAGAAGCCCCAGGTTCAAATCTCAGCACCCACATGGTGGCTAACAACCGTCTGTAATTCCAATTCCAGGGGATCTGACACCTTCTTCTGACCTCCTTGCATGGCACAAGTATATTTACATGCATTCAGGCAATACACTCATACACATAAAATAAAAATAATAAAACATCTAAAAATAAGCGTGGTGGTGCTATTGTGGAGGTGGAAAGTTTTTTGCAATGTGATGGTAATTAAGAACTTTGAATGGGGAACCCTCTTAAGAGACAGGTATGGGGGAGGTGAGCAGGAGTCTCCCATCCCCCCTCCATTGCCCAGGATGGAAGTCTTTGTTTTCCAAAGTTTTCACATTCCTGTTAAGTTTGCAGCCATGTTACCTTGCTTAGTTATCAGTTAAGTGCCTTTTACTTCATTGTCACCTCTGTGCTCTTTTGCCTTTTATTTGCATTTCCCCACACATGAGTAATAAAAGCCCCCAAAACTTGAGGTCTGACTCCTTTGATTCCTGGTGTCAGTCCTGCTAACATCGAATTAAATTTCCTCTCCTTACCTGACTTCAGCTGTAACAGTCCATGCCTTTAATCCCAGTGCTCAGGAGACAGAGGCAGGCAGATCTCTGTGAGCTCAAGGCCAGCCTGGTCTACATAGTGAGTTCTGGGCCAGCTGGGACTACAGGGAGACTCTGTCTCGAAAAAGAGCAAAAAATAATAAATAAAATAAAATAAATAAAAATTTTAAAAACCCACAACACTTGTTTATTGAGAGGAGGCCAGTGCTAATGTGGAGGCCAGAGGAGTTGGTTCTCTCCTTCCACCTGAACTCAGGTGATCAGGTTTGGTGGTAAGCACCCCCACCCTCTGAGCCATCTCACTGACCATTTTCTTTTCTGCCATCTAGGGCTCTAAATACATACTGTCCCCACTGCCTAGGATTGCAGCCACCCTTTTTCTTTGGGGAGGCAAGAAATGGAGACTAGTTTGGGGGTTTTCAGTTTTCATTTTTTAAAAATTTTTATTTATGTGTATGCACGTATTGTCTGCATGTAGGTAAGTGCACCTGTGTCATGCAGTGCCCGAGGACAGCAGAGGCTGTCAGATCACCTGGAACTGGAGTTACAGACAGTTGTTAGCTGCCATGTGGTGCTGGGTCTTCTGCAAGAACAACCAGTGTTCTTAACTGCTGAGCCATCTCTCCAGCCCCTAGTTTTCCTTTTTTTGAGAGTTTCACACTCTATAGTAGGCCTCAACCCCTGGAGGGCTGGGCTTTTAGGCATGCACCACCATACTAGCGGAGTCTCTCTTATGAGACAAGGATGGAGTCCTCCTGGGGCCTATAAAGTAAGTTTTCTGAGCTGTGAACTTGCAGGACGGATAAATTCGGAGCTCAGTAAAAATGAGCCTCAAAAGCCTTTGTATCCTGGAGGTGGAGGACTCCTCCGGAACTTACAAGACCCGGTCCTAGGGGCCAACGTCCCCAACCTCAAGAAGTCCCAAGGTGGCTGGCGAGATAAGGGCATGACCACCTCCCAGGGCCTAGAGCGACCTGCTTCCACCGAAAGTGCCAGCTGCTTGTCAGTCTCTCCCCAACCCACCCCTGCCGCCCTAGAGCAGGTTCATCCACCCAGCCTCCAGGCCTGAAGCCGCCTCCCTGCCGGGGCCCTGTCTGTAGGGGCTTACTGACCCGATTTCAGAGCAGGTTTGAGAGAGGGGAGTCAGAGTGCCGCCCTTGAGGCACTGGGTACTTAAACCTCCTAAGCGGAGGTTGGTGATCACGCAAAGACAATTATCTTCCCATCTATTACACACATTGGCAGCTACAGCCTGGGGTGGGTAATCTGCCTGAGCCGGCTATGACGAACGCAGGCTACAGCGAGCGCTCCGCCCCCGCCCCCGCCTCCGCCTCCCGCTTGCACTTCACCGGGTCCTGGCGTCCTCCCTCCCCAGCTGCCGCGGGTCGGCCGTGGCTTCCGTGTCATCCCACGCGCCTCCCAGCCCGACCACACTCCAGGGTCGCCCGGCAGGCAGACCTAGATGTATGAGGGTGCGTCGCGGCACCGGCAGGGTCCGGGGCCTTCCGTGCCAGCCCCGCATAGCTCCCCTTTGTTTCCCCACAGCTCCACACTTCTGCGGAGTCACGGTCACATGGCGCTTCCGGCACTTGGTGTACCGGGCTCCACGCCAGGGCCTGGAGTCGTCCCCGCCCTAGGCCAGCCGGTCTCCTGCTGGCCGCCAGCCCGGCTCCAAGCCCCTCATGCCCGCTGGGCCTACGCCCTGCCAACCAGCTCTGCTCCTGGTCGCAGGGCCTTCTGCGTCCACTGCCCCACACTCCCAGTGCCTCTGTTCAGGATTTCTAGCTTTCTATCCAAGACTTCAGCGTGCACACTCCGTTGTCTCCGGAGGTCTACCAATTCTAGACCGCATCAAGGCTCGCAGCATCAGTCTTCCCTCCTCCAGAAACCCTATAGGTGCAGACATTCCATCATTGGGGTAGCAGAGTCAGCCTTGAGCTTCCCTGCCCAAGGCTAACAAGCAAAAAAGAAAAGTCAGCCAGTGGCTTGGCCTTCCTCTTCATCAGCACAGAACAAAAATGAGCAAAAGCCTGTCTACTAGTCTACTAGGTCTACCAGGGGTACCCTGTCTACCAGGTCCCTTTCTGCTGCAGCCTAGCGTAAGGACTAGCCGGCACAGCAAAATATCTCCTGGCCAATCCGCCCTGTGACTCTTAGAGACTGAGCCCTGGGCGTTGCCTCTAATTCTTTTAGCAGATTTGAGATTCATCCAAGGAGCTAGTGAGATGACTCAGTGCTTGGGGAGCACTTGCTATTCTTCCGGAGGACCCGAATTCTCTTCCCCATACCCACCTCAGTCTGTTCACAGTCTCCTGTAGCTCCAGCTCAGGGAATTCAAGACAGTCTCCTGCATGCACGTGCACAGATCCTCACAAAGGCGCACATACACATAATTTTAAAAAGAAGTCTTTTTAAAAAAGAATTATTTCAATAAAGGTTTATTGAAAGTATACTGTGTGCTGGGAAGCCTAGTCCCTTCCAGAGGGTGCTAACCCCCAAGAGAAGGAGGCAGGGAAGGATCCCCTTGGCTAGCTAAGCAGTGCCCTTTTCTGAAGAGGCCACTTCTCCCAGAAGCCATCCTCTCCAGGCAGCTCTTCCTAGTGCCTCTCGTTTGGGACCTGCAGGGACTTTGGGGTAGATGGGCTGGGGAGGGAAAGGAAGGTAGCCCAAAGTGGGAGGGGATGGGGAAGGAGCACACTGTGGTCTAGAGATGGATTTGTATGTCACTATTTCTTCAGGGCTTGGTGGGGAAAAGCAGGCAAGTGAATCCCCGGCTGCCACTGTGTCTGTCCACAAGGGGTAGGGGGTGCTTCATGTAGTGCTGAACCATGGCTGCCACTGAGGAGAATTGCTGCACAAAGAAGGCAGGGCATCTGTGAGTCCTCGAGCTTCATTCTGTCAGGAACCACCTAGGGCAACTGTGGGGCCTGGAGGGGAGCTGGCTGGCATTTTTCTAGATGTTTTTCTTCACAGTGCCCCATGAAATTTCAGTGCCAGTTTGGTGCTTGGTTCTAAGCCTCATGCAGCTTTCCTGCAACTGCACCCTTGAGTGAGCTGCTGGTCAGCCTCAGCATTCCAGAGCCAGGTAAAAATTACTTTAGGGCTAGGCCTCTGCCCTCTCCTCAAGGGGAGCTGAATGGTGTATGACTGTCTCTGGTCTGTACCCTAGCAATTTCTGGGGGCAAAATGGAGTCCTTAGAGGATCCTGCCCTTCTCCCAGATGGTCTTATTGCCCCCACCGTGACCCTGTGAAGACAGCCATGGCAGGAGGGGGCAAAATGCCCCTGAGGAAGGCAGGCGTCTTTTCAAAGCACCAGGTTTCTGGGAAGAAGTTCAGGGCTTTAGCCTCTGTCATTTTCTCCCCCTTTTCTTCCCTTCTTTCCTCCCTTGCTCTGTGTGTGTGTGTGTGTGTGTGTGTGTGTGTGTGTGTGTGTAGAGAGAGAACAGAAGACAACTTCAGTTGTTGTCCCTCAAAAAATAAAAAAATCCACCGCATTTATTTGTTTTTTTTTTTTTTTAACAGGATCTCACTCCATAGTCCTGGCTCACCTGGAACTCACAGAGATCTACTTGCCTCTGCCTCCCAAGTACTGGGATTAAAGGCATGGGCCACCATACCCAGCTACAGTCTCTCACTGGCCTGAGGCTCACCGTGGAGACTGACTACCTAATAAACCCCATGGTTACCCCTGTCTCTGCCTTGCCAGCACTGGGATTACAAGCCCACGTCATCACACCTGCCTTATTTTACATGGGTTCTGGGGATCAAACTCAGGTCCTCACAGTGCAAGAAATAAGCACTTGCCAGGCATGGTGGTGCACACATTTAGTCCCAGCACTCGGGAGGCAGAGGCACATGAATCTCTGTGAGTTCAAGGCCAGCGGGGTCTACATAGCAAGTTCCAGGCCAGCTGGGGCTACAGGGACACCCTGTCTCAAAAACAAAGAGACAAGCACTTTACAGACTGTGCTATCTCAGAGCCTCTAGCCTCTGTCACAGAAAAAAATTGCGACTCGGTATTTTCCCGAAACACACACGTGCTTTTTGACCAGGCTTAGAGTGCTGCACTGTGGCCCACCTTGTTGATTAGGCCCATGACTCCTCTATTACTCACCTCTTCATGATTCCTGCCCTCCCGGCCCAGGGCATAGTGGTGCCCACCATCCAGCTGCCGGATGGGAATGTTGAAGACCCGACCTCGGAGGAGTACTGCCAGGGTAAAGGGCTGGGAGCTGTGAGGTCCCGAGCTGAGGCGCACAGTATAGGCTCCATCCTGTGAAGGAGACCCCAGCCATGAATTTCATCTTCCAGTTGCCCATGCCGGGCCCTGACCAGTCATGTCAAGTGCCTCCCTGACCCTTTGCTCCTGCTAGCTTAACCAGCCACAGTCAATGAGCAGAAGGGATTTTGGAGAAGGCCAGGAGTCTGCAATGCCTACCTTTTGGAAGCGGAGCAGGGCTCTCTCAACAGCTTGACGGTCATAGTTTCCTGAATACCAAGGCTGACCCAGCAGGCTCTTGTCCTATACACACACACATACACACACACGAGAGAGAGAGAGAGAGAGAGAGAGAGAGAGAGAGAGAGAGAGAGCAAGAGAGACCCAGACTCAGAGATGTGTTAGAGCACTGAATTAGGCATGGAGAGCAAAGAACCCCAGTTATTTGTGTTCACATCTGCCAGCCTGAGACTGAGCCCCACGGCAAAACCAAGTAGTGTTTGTGCCTGGGAACAGCACAGTGCTGCACACGTGTTCAGTGTATGCATATTCTTTGCAGTGGAGCATGCCCCAGGCCAGGAGGGCTCCTTGGCAAAGATCCAAAGGCTCTGCCATCCACTCGCCTCACCCACAGCCTGCTCCCCTCTTCTGCTCACCTCAGCAGTAGAGGTGCTCAGCATAGGGGCTGCACAGTGAATTGACGGCTTCTTCGCTGCTGAAAAAAGCAGAGCAGAGAGCTGGAGCAAGGAAAGGATTGGGCTAAGAAGGCTCTGGCTTTTGTGGAACAGCTTTATGGTGGGGGCAGAAGCAGAGGATGAAATAGAGTAAATAGGTCTGAAGCCCAAGGCAGGGTATCCAGTGCTCAATCCCTCTGTTCCCCAGGTCCAGCATTCTGGTAAAACCCACCAGACAGGCCTTTTTTGACTTCCAAGTGAGGACTGATCTTGTGACACCGACTGGGACCTTCCCGGTTTAATGCAGATCCTGAGAAATGCCCAAGAAGGTCCTGTCAGGCCTGATCTCAGCAGAAGCCAGAGCTGCCAGGACTACCTCAATGCAATGGGGCCTGAGGGTCTGAAGGGGGCCTGTTGCCTGCAGGGCTGGGAAAGGTAGGATCCTAGCAGGACAGCTCCATTCATGCTGAAAGTACACGTACTTACCTTTTGATGTAGCTTCCACTGCTCCCTGGGATACAGGAGGTCTGGTTAGGTGAGAGCTGGTCCTGCAGGCCCAAAGCCTGAAGTCCCACCCGAGTCTCCCTCCTGACCCTCTCAGCTTTCCCCTTGACTACTAGCCTCTTACATTCCAAGCTTCCTGGGAAGCAATGGTGGGCCTGCAGGGAAAAAATTGGGGAACAGAGTTCAGAGGCTTTATCACCTTCAGGAGAAAGAACTCAGTGAATCCAGTATCCCAAGTGGTGCTCTGCCACTGTTGCCACTTACCTGGGCACTACAGATGTCCTTGGCAGAGGGACTTGGGGCATCAGGACTTGAGAGCTTAGACTTCTGGTCAAGGCTGGGACTGGAACAGAGAGAGCAGGCTAGGCTAGGCTGGACCCCAGGCAGGGAAGTTCAGGCTGATCAGAAAGGGACTGAGAACAGCTTAAAGGTCTACTCTGTTCTAGGTCTCTCAGGGCCCTTCTCACCAGAGGGAGATGCCAATTTGGCAGCCTGGCTTCAGCAGCTAAGACATTCCACCCAGCCCTTGCTCTAAGTGTGTTACTTCTTTGGTAGGAAGTGTGGGTTCACCTGGACCAAAGGCAGACTTCGTGTCATCCAGGTGGGGTCTGAAGCTGAATGTATTAGGTGTGGTGGGGAGACAGGGAACAAAGATGTGGTGAGGAGAGAGTATGTGCATGGGTAGCTGAGGGCTTCAGGGATGGGATAAGAGCAGGTGTTCACCTGGATCCGGCTCACACTCCAGGTAGATGTCTTCCTCTGGTTTCTCTGCAGGGCCGGGTATCTAAGGTGGGAAGGGTATGTGGGACCATGAGTTTGCTCAGCCCTGGAGTTCCCCTTAGGAATAGAAGGCCTGTGCCTCAATCAGGGGGTAAAAGGGCAGGGAAGAAGCCACCAATTGAGAGGGAAGTGACTCTGATCACGTTACTCTCTCCTTATCCACATAGAAGGGGCATCTTACGAGTGACTTCCTCTTTAAAAGTGCCCACAGAGTGTGGAGGAAAAGCCCTGGGTGGCACCCTTGGGACTACTTACACCTGTGGTAGAGGGAAGGGATTCTGCTCTCGACCCTTCCCTTGCTTCCCAGGTCCCCACTTTACCCGTCAGCCTTCTAGCCAGACCCCTAGGATATGAGGTAGGGAAAGAGGTGGCTCACCACTCTAGCAGGTGCACCCCACCCTGCAAAGGAAAGAGAACCAACACTCATGAGCATCAAAGAGGAGGGGGCAGAGCATCTTTGGTGGCCGTGCTCCTCAGAGCCAGCCTCAAAGACCCAAGGGAAGTCATCCCATTCCTTCACACTTTGTCTTCAGAACCCTGTAGGGCCACCCGGCTTGAAACCCACCCAGTTTGCTAAGTTTGGCTCCAGATAACTTTGGGCTGGTTCAGAAAATCATAGCCACCCTGAAAGTCACAAAGGCTCACCAGCAACTGAGCAGAATCAGATGGAATATGCCTCAAGTGAGCTTTTGGCCTTGCGTAAAGGGAGGCTATTTCCCCCATAGCTTCTCAGATAGAGATGGATCAAGAGGTTCCTCCCTGTTCTGACATCCCAGAGTTCTGGGGTCATAGATCTCAGGGAACTGACCACAATAGCTAATCTCTGGACAGGAGGGGTAATCAGGTATGGATGGAATCAGAGTGGTGGCCCAAGGGTACTCCCATCAATGGGGATGTCTCAACAGGGAGGCTCCTGGAGGCACAGCAGCCTGCCCTTCTGACCTCTTCTTTCTAGAGTGCCCCTCATCTGACCCAGAGAGCACATCAGGGCAAGACAAGGCCTGGAGGTCAGAGCCTCTCCTGCGCCTGCCCAGGCACAGCAGTTCATGTCTCTGGGTTTGCGTTTCTTCATCTGTTTGCTGTGATGATATCTGGACTGTCTACCAGGTGAACTAGCAGGCAGGAGGCTCAGCTGGGATGTGTGCAGCCCAGTGAGAGACAAACCCCAAACTCTACCCCATGTGGAGGAAGACTCCTCTCCCAATGTGGAGCCACAGAAAGAAAGGGACACGCTCCCTTACCTTGCCTCCCAAAGACAGGTCCTTGCTTTGGGGTGGTCTGCAGGTTTGTTGCTGCCTTCAGCTGTGGGCACAATGGGTCTGGTGAGGGAGCAGGGAAACAGAGGCATGTGAAATGCAGAGATGATGGGGTGGAGCTATGTGCTGCTTTCAAAGCCAGAATGCAACTGCTTGGCATGATGATGCTTGCCTGAAATCCTGGCACTTAGGAAGTAGAGGCCAGAGGAGGAGGAGTTCAAGGCCAGCCTCAGTTGTATAGTAAGATTAAGGCCAGTCTGGACCATATGAGACTCTACCCAACCCTTCCCTTCCCCAGTAAAAGCCCAAACAAACAGATGCCAACCACTACAGTAAAAGTGTACCAGAAGACAATACTGTTGGCCTCTATTTGAGGCTCTTTCTTTATTGTGAATCTTTCCCTGTTTATCTTTTTATTCCTGTAAAATATAGAAGGAAAGTGATAGGGAGGAAAGTCAATAACTAGATGTCAGTGGGAATAGGAGTTAATGGAGGTTGGTAGCTGATCGCTTCTGGGTAGCAAGGTGTCATCCCACCCAGTCCAGGTGAGGGTAGCTGACTCCAGCCCCAGCCAGTGCAGAGGAGGGAGGGGGTGTCTTGCCAACCAGCTAGAGAAGAGTGACAGGACCCTCTAGGCAAGTGAGCGGAGTTACTGTTGGTTCACAGGCTCTGACTTCTAAAGCAACTGTCGCTGGAGGTTTCAGGGGCCTCTTGAATGCAAATGGGGGGAGGTGGCTTGCAAAGGAGATGCCTCCTAACATTTACTTACCAGGAAATGGTAGCCGGATGTAGGGCGAGTGGGAAAGGAGGTACTGGTGGGGAGGCCTCTAGCTTTGGAGAGCTGAGGCAGGGGTGGTGGTGGCTTAGATGGGCCCATGGGGCCAGAGCAATCTGGAAAAGACGCCATTGTGAATTGGGGAGGGGGAGTTCCCCCGGGTAGGATTTTCCTCCTTTTCTTCTTCCCTCCCTCGGTCCCCTCTGCTCATTGGCTTCTTGACAGCCCCGTTTCTATGGTAACTGGTGGCAGCCAGCTTCCCTGCCCCCACCTGGCCGAGCCCTAGAGCCCTGGAGGCGGAATGCCAGCGGTGACCGGCCACTCTGGGCACCCCCACCTTGGCTGGGAGGATGTGCGGAGCTCTCCGAGGGGGAACTACAGGCCCCCAAGGACAAAGTCGAGCTTCCTGCTTTGCGCTGTTGCCTTAGTTACCTCGCCCCTCCCTCCAGTTTCCTCCCCATTCTCCTTCCCTTCCATTCTCTTACCCTCCCTTCCTCCATCCCTCTGTCCTTTGCTCAGTCAAGAGGCCCCAGTGGCAGCCAACTGAAGCCTTCCCTCCCTGTCCCAGCTCCGGCAGAGGGAGGAGAGGCTAGGGCTGAGCTCTCTTCCTGTCTTACCCTGCTCAATCCCAGCCTCCCTGCCTCTCCTCAGCCCTCACCCAGATACAAGGCGTCCTCCTCAGCACCCGGAGGGTGTGCAGGGGCCAGACTGACTGGCAGAGCCTCAGATGGGGGCAGCTCGTATTTATCCTCCTCCTCCTCCTCTTTCTCCTGGGCTTTCAAGAATTGATACTGGGTACAGGGAAAATGAAAGGTGGAACGTTCAGGGCACTGGTAGCCCCTGTCTCCCTCTCCCCGCCCCAGCTTCAGCAGCTAGATTCACCTTGTGTCTCCAAGTCTCCGGGCCAGACAGGGGAATTGTGTTGGGAGCATCTTCTCTCCAAACTGGGACATCTGGACAGATAGACTGATCTTGCTTCCTCCCAGCCCACCCTCCTAGAACAATGCCTTGCTCCCTCCTTGGTAGAACAGACCATTTGCCCTTGACCATGGGCTTCAATCCTCAACTAAAGTAACCCATTGATGAACAGTAGCAGTGGAGGAGTCCAACTAGGCAGGCATATTGGAAACTTGGGGACCCCTCTTGCCTGTTCCCCCATGCGTGTTCCCTGTCCCCTCCACCCCTGATTCTAGCCAAGACAGGTGAGAGAACCAGGCTAATGTGACCCAGCTGTGCTGGATAATGGGAGCAGGTTGTCTAGAGTCACTCAGGGAGATCCAACTGTGGAGAAATCTAGTCTGCTGGGCTCCTCTGCCTCACAGTGTCACTTACCCATGCACCTGGCAGGTGGGAGTGGTGGCCCCAACCTGTAAGCAGACTCTACTCAACTCTGCCCAAGGAATTTGTGTCTGCCTGACACTGAGCTCTAGGACATTCAAATCTATAACTGTGAATGCCCCCCAGGAATTATGTGACACAGTGGGCTTGAGGTCAGGGCAACAGGAAGAGGAGGCTGGGGGCAGAGCTGGTGGACTTTGGGTTTTATAAAGCTGGGTGAGTTGGTATGCTAGGGAAGCTAAGGGGAGGAGAAGCCCCAGTGTTGACCCCCAGTGCATGGGATAGAGAGAGACAGGATAGCTGTCACTGGAGGGGTGGAGGGGGGCAGTGGAGACAAGGGAATAGGACAAGAGAAAAAGGAGCTCAAGTACTCACCGGGCCTTGCTCCCACTGAGCTTGTCCTAGAGTCAGGAGAAGGGAGATGGACTGATTGGTTAGTATAGTGGGAGCTCTCCCTGCCCAGAGTCCTAGGTCCCAGTGATCTGGCAGTTTGATGTGCCTGGGGCTGCCCCGGGACCAAGTCTCACCATGGCAAGGTAGATGAGCTGAACCTCTTTGCCTCCCTGGAGTCCAGGAGCTGCCACAAATGGCTCCTTGGGGACAGGGGCCCTATTGTTCCCATTATTTGCATCTCCTAAGCACCAGGAAGATGCCCCTCCACTGTGGTCTCTCACCCCAAATGGACTTCACCCAGGACACTCCCATGGCCCCAGCTCTCCCTCTCATGGTTGTGGTCTCTGATTCCCCTTCTGCCCCAGGGCAAAACCGATTCAAAACCTTCCTCCAACCCTCAGATGGACATCACCTTTCCAGACTCACACACATTTCTTTTTCTTTTTTTAAAAATTTTTTATTATTATTTTAACATATTCAAGTGTATTGCATGCATGTATGTGAATGCACCTGTGTCATGCAATGCCTCGGTCAGAAGAAAGTGTTGAAGTCCCCTGGAATTGGAGGTTCTTAGCCACCATGTGGGCACTAGGAATCAAACCTGGGTCCTCTGCAAGAGCAGTCAGTGCTCTTAACCGCTGAACCATCTCTCCACCCCATGTTTCTTTTTCTTAAACCTTTACTTCTATTGTCATTTACTGGCAGGTGGTGATCACTGCTGATCAGAGAAATAAAGGTTAGGGAAAAATTCAAAGGCTCTCGTATTTAATATGACAGCTTTATTCTTTGGCAGAGGTGTTTATTCACTTGGTGGCTATGTACCAAACATCTCCTACACATTAAGCACTGTTCTACCACTGAAGATGTGGTAGAAAACAGCAAGCATTACATGTGTAATTTCCACATTGGTTTCTCAAAATAGCCTCATGATGCAAGTACTAGATTTATCTTCAGTTTTCAAATAAGACACTGAGTGTATTAGTCAGCTCTGAGTGACATAACAATCCCACAAGACTGGGTGACTTAAAGAGCAGAAATTTTAATCCCTCCCAATACGAGAGGATAGAAAGTAAAACTCAAGGTGGCATCAGGATTGATCTCTTGTGGCTTTCCTTCCTGGCTTGAGTTCAGCTACCTCTCCCTGTGTCCTCACATGGCCTCCTGTTTATATGCACTGAGAGAGAGAGAGAGAGAGAGAGAGAGAGAGAGAGAGAGAGAGCGAGCTCTGGTATCACTCCCTCTTCTTAAAGATACCAGGCTATAAGATTAGGACCTCATCTTATGACCCCATTTAACCTTAATTGCCTTCCTACAGGCTCATTCTCTAATTACAGACACATTAAGGATTAGGGGTTCAACATACAAATTGGAGGCGGAGGGGATGGACTCAACTCAGTTCATTAAACTGAGGCTCTGAGAAATTGAATAAGTGTTCTGGACTGGGGTTGTAGCTCAGTTGGTAGAGAATTTTCCCAGGATGCACAAAGCCTTGGGTTCAGTCCTCAGGCACCATATAAAAACTGGAAGTGGTGATGCACACCTGTAATCCCAGTACTTGGGAGATGGAAGCAGGAGGATCAAGACCATCCTCTCCTACATATCAAGTTCAAGGCCAGACCTGAAGGAGAAGGAGAAGGAAGAATATGAGGAAGAGAAGAGGATAAGGAGGAAGAGGAGGAGGAGGAGGAAGAGGAGGAGGAAGAGGAGGAGGAGGAGGAAGAGGAGGAGGAAGAGGAGGAGGAGGAGGAAGAGAAGGAAGAGGAGGAAGAGGAAGAGGAGGAGGAGGAAGAAGGAGGAGGAAGAGGAGGAGGAAGAGGAGGATGAAGAGGAGGAGGAGAAGGAAGAGGAGGAAGAGGAGGAGGAAGAGGAGGAAGAGGAGGAGGAGGCAGCCACTGCTACCATGAGGACCATTGGAATAGCTCAAATGGATGCCCATATAGTATAATGTGGAAAAGTGAGAAAACGTGAAACAAGGGACCTGGGTCTGCTCTTTGTCCTTTACTCCTGGCTAAACTTCCTTCCACGTTTGGACCACAAGGCAAAGGGCAATTTCCCTCACCTAAAGGGGCCTCTTGTACCAGAGAGAGCAAGCTCTGGCTATGGGATCAGACTCCACATGTTAGACTGAATGGAACATTCTGGAACCATCTCACCACAAACCACAAATTGATCTAGTTCCCCAGTACATGGTACCACCCTCAACCACCCTTGTCTCATCCACCTCCTCCCTCTGCTCAAGGCTTTGCATAGGCAAATTGAATGAAAGGGCCACACAGGTGTAGACAGAGTCTGTGTCATCTTGGCAGGGACCCCAGCCACACCGGAGAAAGGAGGGAAAGCAGGAAGCTTGCGTCAACAGCCTTGTCAGCCAGGACTCTGCTTGCCAGTCACAGGTAGATTTGAACACCTTCTCTCTCTTGCTTTATGTATACCACTGATATCCCTCGGGATGAACTCCTTGATGGAGAGTTGTAAAGAACTTGGGCTTTGAAGGTTTACTACTGTACTGTCTGGAAGCACCTGATTGTCCTATTTATGGTCCTTTCAGAACACAAAGTGATTCTTCAGATTTCTGAGATCTCAGCTACTGATCCCCAGTGAAAACAAGCCTTAAATTAGGCTCAGGGTTGTGTAAATTCACCCTTCAGGAACAAAAAGCCAGTTTCCCCATTTGCCTGAGCACCAGAGAGCTTGTTAAAAGTCTTGGGTCCCCACATCCTCTCCAGTACTGTAGGAAGCGCCTCTGGGAAAGGACCTGAGAGTCCAGGTTATCTTTAACAGACCCAGTTTATCCGAAGTTAAGTATGAGAAATGCAGCTCTGTAGATAAAGATCTTAGGATATTTTGGAATTATCTACAGCCCTCAGCTCATTGGCAACATAGGAGTCTCTTGCAGAGGTAGAACATGACACAGACCCTGCCCTCCAGGGCCTGCTTCAAATGATGGACAAAGCAGAGATGGTCAGCATCTCTAGGCTTCTGTTTCCTTCTGTATGAATGGGGATATTAATAAACAGTCCACTGGGTATGGGGGTGGCTTTAGACTGGAATCCCAGCACTTCAGAGGCTGAAGAAGGAAGATCAAAAACTCTAGGCCAGCTTGCTCTACTTTGTGAATTGAGTTCGGGGCAGTCTGTACTATAATGTGAGACTATGTCTCAAAACAAACAACAACAAAAAGACATTCCTCATTGGGAGAAGCTTCTAAGGATCCAATTAACTCATAACACATAGTGTCAGCTCCCCTGGACTCAGGATGCTATAGTTGATGTAGTTGCCTGCAGACAGAGGAGGTGGCTACGTCTAGCTGAGGTCTCTGGTGTCAGTGGAGGGGAGGCATCATAAGGAGCGCCTGGGGTGGTTTCTGAGGACCTGAAAGGCAGGTGAGCAGGCTGTGGCCCAGGACTAAGGGGTGCAACATGTGAAACAAGAGCCTCTGAGATTGGATGGCTGGGCTCCTGAAGGCCTGAAGGGGACAGGTACCATTCTATTTCACTACTGAGTATGTCTTATCTTGGGGGAGGAGGGCTTGCTTTTATCCACAGAAGCCAGGTACACCTTCCCAGTCTCCCATGCAGAGGGTACCACTGGCATTCTGCCAGCCAGATGCCCTGTGCCAGGCTTTGAGTCCCAAAAGGATCATACTCTGGTGGAGTAGTAATAGTCAAACTCTTTCCAAAAGCTACTGAGGCTAAGACCATGGGATTAGATCAGTGGTGTTATAGTATAGCATATCTCTACCCCATGTGCTTTGCCAGGACCTTTGGAACATTGTTTCTGGAAGGTTCTCTGGCCTTCCTGGAGATGCTGTAAGATATAGAATTTCTTTTTTCTCTTTTTCCTGCATATTTATTGAACACAACACATGATTCTG